AAAAAAAAAAAAAAAAAAAAAAATTTGTTTGACAAACGATAGAATTTTTTTTCTCTCTCGAATAATTTTATACGTTGCTCGTAGACTTCGTATTACGAAAACAGTTAATACTATGCGAGTCGGTACAAACAAGATGCTTTCTCAGGAGTTTGAGAAAGCAGGTTAAGTATCTTACATACTTAATTTGCTTCGGCTGCAACCTGTAGAAAACCAGAGCGATTTTTGTCTATCTATATATCCCGATTCGAGTCAAACCGAGTCAAGTCGAGTTGGATCGAGTTGAGACGAGGGATCGAGTTTACGAGCGTTTCTGAGACCCGAGGCAAGGCTGGCCGGCTATCGCTTAGGTATGCGCCTGCAGCTGTTCTAAAATTCCAGCTGGGATTGGCTTCTTCGATATTTTCGAATAGCGGGTTATATACTTTTCACATGAATAGGTGCAGGTATATATTGTATTTTGACAATGAATTTTACAAGAATTAAAAAATTATATTTTCGATTCCTAGAAACAAACGAACGGTTTAAATCATCTTTTTAATTAATACGACTTGCGATATGTATATTTTGTTGCATATCTTGTTGTATTGAAGAACCTTTGCGTATAAACGATTGGTTGAATATTTGATCGCGGGGGAAATACTTGAAATATTCGAACAGTCCGTTAAAGCTTGTGCGACTCCGCGTCACGAACCGACCACCGGAAGTAGGCGTAATAACGAACTCCCATTGCCTATACGTGCTGGGAATACAATAACATTGTAGGCTACGCACAAAGGTTTCTTTCCCTTGCAACGGCTACTTTAGGATACGCTAATCTCACGCAACATTTTTTCCAAAAATATTGGTTGAATAACATGAACGTACTATATAGCGTATATACTATACCAAATGCTCGGGATAACTTTGTTCGATCGATCACCATTAATCGTGAGAAAATCATTGAAATCATTTTGCACTTTTGTTTATTGAAATATTAAAAAAAATTGGATTCGTTAGTATTAGATTAATAAGATTCGTGAATGGTAACAATACGAATATGATGATGCAAATTATTTCTTCTTTTGAAATCGAGGTTATAAAAAGAATTATTTCAATTTTTTTACAACTTTTAATGAAAGGCGAAAATAATGTAATCATTTAAAAGATATCATAACTCAATGATCGACAACAAATTGTTTATAAATATATGTAATATGATATATGTAATATATGTATGTTTGTGTAGAGCATGGATGCTACAGTACCACAAATTCGTTGATAGTACGATATTGGCATCCAGCGATGACCTTCACCTACCGATATTATACGACATTAACCCATCTTTCTTGCGGAATATGAATCAGGCTTTATAGTAGGAAACATTTATTTTGCAAAAATTTGATCTTTTAACAAATAATCTTTTGAGTAATTTATGATTATAATATTTGCGATTATATTATATTTTTAGATCATGAGAAAATATTTATTTAAAATGTATCCTCATATATCGTATACTATATCATATCGTGATGATTTCATCCTTGAAAATATCATCGTGAATAAAATTTCAGTTCCTATTAATTCACAATACAATACGCATAAATATTCATTCTATGAATATATACACATCGAGTTTATTCATTCAAAGATTAGTCCAATCGGAATAGACTCGACTATGGAACATTATAAAATAAACTTACATTTTCAGGCTGCGACGATCGCCTTTGCCGCGGTACACAGAAGAGCGGCACGCCGCTTTCTCGCTTCTTCTCCAATATAGCGGCTTCCGGGTCTTTCTACCAACACAAAAATAAACGAAATTTTCTCCACTAACACACTATTAATTCAGCACGCACGTTTCAATTGTATCTCTACGTCCTTCGCTAGTTTCGATTCTCTTTACACATATTACTAACTCGCACAGAACGATCAACAATCGATAAATATCGTTATGAAACACGTTGTCTGAACTCACGATATATTTTGTCGTTACAAAGTAATTATTTCACGACTCACAATCACTTACACTACAAGTTGATCGAGCTTCAAAATCTTTCGATTCGAGATTGAAACTCGATTCCTTCGAAGTAGCGATCCAACAATGCGGCGTTGTCATCGTCATCGTTGTCGTTTCGATTACACATCTCGATCTTTTTTTTTCGATCGATTTCCTTTCCACTCCAAGTGCAATGATGATACGATTGCTCTTTTTGCGCTCTCGTTTATCTTTTAATTTTAAGAATGTCGTTTATTATTTTCCGTTCACACGATTCATAGGCGTGTTAAGCTCTAACGACGCGCTGCATTTTTAGAGAACCGACGTGTCCGCCTCTTTCAGAGGGTTCGTCAACCCGGACCTGGCGTGTCGATTCGTAACCTTCCTTCGGATAATATCGAAGCATATATTTCCAATTATTATCAAATAATATATGTTCAAGATTTTAAGAATAGCCAAATAAATCTACTACGACAATTGTTTAAACAAAGAAAACATATGAAAAAGTTAAACAGCAAAATAAAACGCGATACACAATACCACGACGCTAACAAGTTGCGCGTCGCAGAACAACTGAGTTCGCTTCTATTACGACGGCCACGAAGATCCCCACTCCATTCTACGTCGATATTCGCGTCTCTTCGAAACTAAAGCGCTCGTTACAAGGATAAATTGCCGACAGTCAAGTATAAATCAAATATTTTTTTTTTATATATATATATACATATTACATGATAATATAATAAGTAATATAAATTTTTTAATTTTTTCTTTTAAAGTATCTTTAATTTAAAAAAAAATTGATATTTTACAACGTTTATTTATTAACAATTAATGTTATAATGAATTAAATAATGTTGAAAAAATTCTTAATTTTTTAATATATTTTTCGTAATATTTTTCATAATTGTATGAAAAATATCTATGACATTTATTCTAGTTTGATTCATTGTGACCGTAATTCGACAAATTGACTCTTCGTAATTCGGGTCAGGCATGTCTGATTCTTTAACAAGAATTAAAATTAAATTAGAACATCGATTTATAGTCTGTATAAAAAATAAAAGATTTTAAAAATTATTTTCTTAATTAAAATATGTTGAAAATTAATTGCATTGTTCTTCAACGATTGAAGAAATCAAAGTTCATCAAAAATTAAACATGTACAAATATATTTCAGATAATTTATCATTTTTTTTTAACTTAGAAAAATTTTTTTATAATTTTTATATACCTCTACGTGTCCTAAATGACGTGCAACTACCCACGCTAATTAATCCATTTTCATTGTCTTTGCTCTTGACTATTCATCACGTTTCCGTTTCCGTTTCCGTTTCCTTTTTTTATACACTTTAATATATTTTATATAATTTTTCATCAATAAGAAACTAGCTGATATAAGTTATTTTCTTTAATAGGAATTACAATTTATAGGAATAGTAAGTTAAGTATAAAAAAAAAATAATATTTATTATATTTGTATATTGACATATTTTTATATTTTTAGATAAAAATTTTATATCTAAGATAAAAAATTTTTGCAATATTGAAAAAAATTTTATTTTACCAATTCATCGACAATTTTCATCTACATGATATATCATAATATCATAATATTATCATTCGAAACATTATGACACACCCCAGAAAAAGACAAATATCGGAACACCTACAACCACACTTAATTTCGTTAAAATACAATACGAATAATAAACTAGTCTAGACATACGGTTTGGATTATAGTAGTTCTGTTTGCGATATGTAGGCGGTCAGTGTAGGAGTGCCGCCGGACATGACGGAACATTGACGGATGAATAGAAACACACGTGTGGGTCGAAAGCTTCCTTCCTTGATCCAAAAGCACAAAATTCTGAAATTTAAGAGATAAAACGAATCGATGGACTATTAACGGATATAAGAATTATTATTAACTTTGTCCTATAAAAACTCGATAAAACATTTTTATGAAACAATTAAGAAACAATTTATTAAATATATTTATTATTTTATATAGAAGATATAAAGAATTAATAAAGGAGTTAAATAAAATTAAATAGGTTTAAGGTCAATGACACTTAATCGATTTTTTTATCCTTCCATCGAGATTCACCTAAAAGGTTTCATAGAAGACTTTTCAGCGAACACGTATTATAAAATAAATAGAATATGAAAAATATAAAGTAAATATAAAATATAAATAATTTTTATTATTTGTTAATAATTAATTATATATGTTTATTTACATTATATAAAAAAAAACATTTAAATTTCAATATGGAATATTTTCTACGTTCTGTAAATCTTCGATTATTTCTTCTATATAATCATTTTCTATTTCCAATTCTTCTTCTTCTTTATCCATGAGATTGAACAGAGGTATTGGTTTCATTTTTCTAGCTGCCATTTCAATTTTTTGAACTATAACGACTTCTCCTACTCTGGAAATAAAATTTGTCACTCTACAAGCACCTATGGTACCTATTCTGCCAGTTCTACCGCATCTAAATAAAATATATAATATTTCAATATTTTTTTCTATTTATTTATAAATAGAAAATCTAAATTGAAAATAAATTAAATAAATTGAATACCTATGAATATAACTAGCTGTGTCTAATGGAAAATCATAATTTAAAATATGATTAACCATCACTGTATTTAAACCTCGGGAACCTCCGTTCGTCATAGATAATACCATAGTTTTACCATTTATAAATTCTCCATATTTTCCTCGTCGTACAGACAATGGCATATCGCCATTTAAATTTGTAACTTTAATACCACACTCGTGTAAAAAAGAAGAAAGCCAATAAGAAGTACTATTTTGATTACAAAATACAATTATGCGTTGATTATTTAACACTTTAGGTTTTACATATTTCAGAAGTTGCACAGGTTTTTCACTTGGTATTAATCTCATAAATTTTTGTGGAACCAATATTTTATGTAATTTTTCTGTTGTTATATGTTTTAATGAATCTAGCTACAAATAAAATTATTTATTGTTTTTTAAAATTATTTTTAAAATCATTTAAGTTCTATCACTTACATTTACAATTCCATTCAATACATTCTTCATCCGTGAAGGAATTGTTGCAGAAGTTAAAATAAGTTGAGCTGAATCAGTGAATTCATCTTTTGTTGTATCACGATATTCAACCTGTATTTATTAAAACTTCATGAAATTTATTTTATTTATCAAACATTTTTTTTTTTTTTTCTACATACATATATTCTTTTCATAAATACTCTTAATTTCTCCTCAAACGAATGATGAAACAAGGAATCTGCTTCATCTAAGACAACAAATCTTACAAATTTCAGATTATATACACCAAATGTTGTCAATTTACTAATAACTCCAAAACTGCAAACAAGAATATCAACGTGACCCACAGGAGGATTCAATAATATTTTTTTTGTTCTGCCACCAGTGATTATTTTTATTTTAATATCAAGATCTTTAGATATTTTAATTAATTCCAACTAAAAAAAGAAATAGAATGTTTTTTGTAAATATTATAATATAAATGAAAGTTTTAGATTTATATTACTAATATATTAATAATATAATTTACTAACCGCAATTTGAACTGCTAATTCTCTTGAAGGAGTTATAATTAAGCCAAATGGACTATTTATATTACTTTGTATATTTTGTTTCCATATTAAAATTTTAGTTACCAATGGCAAAAGATAAGTTAATGTTTTTCCACATCCAGTTTCTGCTGCTAATAATACGTTATATCCTCGAAGAATTTTTGGTATTCCTAATTTCTGAATTTCTGAAGGTTTATATATATCTAAATTTTCTAAATTATTACATACAGAATTATTTATATTAAGCTCTTCAAATGCTTCAAAATCAATTTTATTTATCTCTGTCTTATCCTGTAAAAAAAATTGTAATAATGAAACATGTACTATAAAATACATATATATATGTACACACATATACAATACATGTACATATACAAAAATAGATAAAAATTATTATACATTGTGATAAGGATATATGAAAAAGTGATCATTTTTGGATTTTCTATTTTTCCATCCATGACTAGCTAATATTAATTTCTTCTTAATATGTATATCATCTGTATAAAAATCATATAATTTTTTTTTAGAAAGTATTATTGGTATTTTTTTTTCTTGATTTTTTACTTCATTATCAATTATTTCATTTTTTTTTTTGCGGCTTTTAACTAGCGCTCTTGCCTAAATTGAAATTAATATAAAATTAACTCAAAATACAAAATACATCATATAAAAAAAATCAAATATTAAATATGTAATTACATAGTGCCTTGTAAAATTGACAAATGATATATTAATAGTTTTGCAACCAATATGACAAAATCGAAATAACATTTTATATATATATAATAATCTTTATAACAAAAATATAATTTTTACATTATATTAATTGTTTAAACATATATACTAATAGTATTATAACATATGTTACCATAGAAAAAATTACATATAGATGAAATAGCAATACTAAGAACTAAGAAAAAAATAATATATAGATGAAATATTCAATGAATGAATATCTAATTACAGAATTAAATCAAATTTAAACTTTTCAAAATAATTTGAAATTAATTTTATTAAAATATTCCTGCTTTTTTAATTATAATAAGTAATTTAGTATAATTATAATAAAAATAAAATTTTATAATTAATTATACCAATATATCATCTAGCGATAAACAAAAGATTAATTAGCTAACAAATTTAACAATTTATACATTTCAACTTTTAAAAACTCAAATTAATGTTTGAACAATGAGAAATAATTGAAAATGAATATTTGAAAATTAATTTATTACTAGATGATTATAATGTTCCTAGTAAAGTGTCTGGTATAGTGTTTTTTATGTTATGAAATATATTTACAATTTCATTGACTAGTTTGAAAACAAATCTATCGTGTTGCTACCGTATTGCATCATTACATGTCACTTCGTTATTTGATATGTTACGGTGGTCTTGTACGTCTTGATCTTTCATATCTGTCTGTATTCAGTACATATTGATAAAGTTCTATTTTATTAGAAATTTGCAATATACGTACAAGACAGATACATTAAAATCAGTATATTAATTATATTTGTTGCAAATAAATTTATATTTGATTTATATTGAATTAGGCGGTTTCATTTTACTTGTTTTTTAATATTATTGAAGTATTTGCACATATAATTATATTTAAAGCTGCTGAAGTATTTTGCATATATAATAAATTTATTTTTTGTTTTTTTAATGAAAATATTAACATAGATAAATATTAATATATTTAATTAGTTAGCCATTCTAACAAATTTATAAGTGAATTATTGCAACGATCATATTTCGAGTGCTTCATTAAATCACGATTTACGGAAATTCAATTTGTGATAAAATTATCGTGTTTTATTTTCATAGTGATAAGTTTATTGTTTCCTGTATTTGAAATGGCCTGGTTTGCGAGATTTAATGGAAGAACTAATCAAGATCTTGTAGAATATCTTAGGAGTAAGCAATATAATAAATACAGTATAATTATTATAAATTGTTTATTTATATATTTTTTAAATTATA